TTAGAGTCGAAATAAGATGTAAAGAGCCGGGGTTCGATACCCGTGGTGGGCATAGCACAGATAGCCCACTGTGCTTAACAACAAATAAGCCCCCCAAAAAAAACACATTTAGAGCAGCAATATTTTCCAAAAAACATCACGAGAATTTTTTCAAAATTAATTTGAGTAGATGATATAAATACAGTCAGTATTTATTTTTGATATAAATTTAGTTTTCGCTGACCCGTTCTGTTCAAATATTTAAATAACTGTATATATCATAATCTTATAATATACTGATATATATATTATAATATTCGGTTACAATACACAAAAATCACAGTTTCTTTCAGTATAAACGTATTTCTAATGCGACTAGCGATAACCTTCTACAAACTTTCAATGTTGTAGTGGTCTTCACGCTTTACACTATGACTTTTACATTTTACTCTTTACACTTACCTGTCTCCTTCCTTAAATAAGAAATGATCGTCAATGAGCTGCTGCTGGGTGGCTTTGCTCATCCCCGTGAGGGGGTAGTAAGTTCCTTTCAGTTCGTCCTCCATGCTGCTCAAAGTGGAACTGACTTTTTCCTCCATTTCTTTATATTGCTAGAAACGAAGATAAAACCCACAGAGTCAGCGAACTGGTGAGATCTTTATTTAACCTATCTCAAGGATATTTAACCATCCAAATACGTATAGTTCTCTTTCTTTTTCTTTTAAAAAAACGTTGATTTTTTTTTACTGCTCAGTTTATATAACAAATTAAATCCAGGAATTCATTGATTGATAATAAATAGAAATACTAAAAAAAAGTCTTAAACGTAAAGATTATACAAGGTAGTGAATAGCAGCGTATAATTAATAACTGCTAAATAGTCCAAAATTAGACAACATGGCCGAACATTGTCTTATGTAATTAATACATTCAGGTTGTTTTCATATAAATTTAATTATAAAGTTTTGAAATAAGTAGAGAAAGCTCATTTAACTAACAATAAAACACAATTAAATAGCATAGGCACCTCCGCTGTCAAACAAGGATTAAAGGGATAACCCTGAAGACTACGACCACAGCGCACTCTAGTGGAGATGATAAACTGTCCTGCTGGGTCGAGATCCACTAGCGTATTGATGTCACCCCACTGCTTGGGTGGATGTTTATCTGTGAGTTTGAAACCTCCATGGTAGTCGTCAATAATGGGATCAAACAGAGGACCGAAGGTTCTGTACGATTCTGCGTCTGGAGCGTAGATTCCCACGCCACTATCCAGGTTCTCAACACCTAGATAAAAACTGGAGTAAGAATTCGTCGTGTTTTCACGTTTCTCTAACAAGTTGATGAAACAGTATTCGTGACAGTATTAATTGTACAATTTCTTGCAAGATATAATTTATCTAGCGCTTTTTCGTGAAGCAAATATCTTAAAGAAACTGACTTGTCAAAAATATTAATTAGGTTCCACTTAATTTCAATGACGCACATGATTAGAATGTTATAGAAATACCCAAAAAAGGCGTTAAAGTTAAGCCTTCACTAGGATTCTGGGAATAAAAAAAAAGCTTAAAGTTCAGAATATATTAAAACACCGCCGGTTTCTGAGAAAACTATGGTTAAATCTCTCGGATCCATATTTAAGAAAAGGCTTAAAGTTCAGAATATATTAAAACACCGCCGGTTTCTGAGAAAACTATGGTTAAATCTCTCGGATCCATATTTAAGAAAAGGCTTAAAGTTCAGAATATATTAAACCACCGCCGGTTTCTTGCTGAGTTCTACTAGAACAAGGAGTAATTTGTTAAACTTTCTTTCAAGCAAATGTTAGAAACTTTCGAATACCGCGAAGGCTTTGCGCTTTCCCTATAAGCCTAGAAATAATTAAAAAAAAGTACTGGATTGTGGGTTATTCCATCAAACTGAGACGATGGTAATTCTAATAGGTTTCTTCTTTACAGTTTCCACGGGTTTCCAGTGTGCAGAGTATGAAAAGCTATCATTTTACACTTTCATTTACGCCTCTCAAATTATCAACAAACAAATCAGGCCTCGCCAGTTGAAGCATCTTTACATTTAATAACAATTTACTTTTCGTTCAGAGAAAACGCGGTTCAAAAACATAATAGACTTAAAATATATTACTAATGAAAAACACAGAGCAGTTAAAACGTCGTCCTAGAGACGTTTCTCTAGCCTTTTACTCTGCTGTAAATAGAACTGACGTGTGTTTATTCTAGATAGCGCACTTTCTCGCACGAGACTCGATAAGAACTAAATATCGTGTCTAAGTTGTCCCACTTTCAGTACGCCCGTGGGGTTAATAATTACAAACAATAACACCTTCGAGCAGAAATATCTGTATTACTGACTACGCAAAATTGAGATTTATGAGCTCGACTGGCACGACGCCTAGCATCGAAACCTGGACATAAAACTAATTTATTTTAGAGTTTCAAGAGTCTAGGAAATTTTATCTCTCATTAGACTCGGCATTTATCACTGTATTGTCAGATAATTAACATTCACTAATTAGACATCGCTCTTTACGTTAGCCGGGTCATTTTTCAAGACAACTGATAAAAATAACGTTGAGTATCTTCTACCTATTTTATAAACAAACTGTCAGAAGATTAACAGCCGGGATATTAACTTAACGCCAAGTGACAAGAAAATTCAACTTGTTTAAAAAAACAAACAATATTTGTTGTGAGACAGCGCTGTATAACTGTACCTGTGTATTAACCGGGAAAATAATGGAAAAAAAAAATCAAGGCATTAGTGAGTATTTGTTTTAAAGTAATTCAAGTTATTTAAAATATTTGAATTGTACAGGGTGTAGAAGTTGTGAATATAGAGTTTCTGGTGACTAAAACAAGAGATTAGAAAAGTTTCAACAAAAAAAAAGAAACGAACTGGAATTGTAATTTACGCAAGGTTTTATCTTTAAAATAAAGTAAAAATGTTGCTTTTACTCAAGTACAATTCTAACGTCCTTCTCTGTAGGAAGATTTCTTGGCTCAGAACCTCTTGACATTCACCAGATCTTGAGAAGGTTAAGGACAGCATCCAATAGCACGAAGCGGTTCTGTGACGTCATTGGCATTTGCCAAAATGGCTCACTAATTTTAACTACCAGACAGGTCGTTGTACAAGAATCCCAAGGTGAAAAGGGGGTCATTTTTTCCTCCATTTCTTTTATTCTTAGGTAGCTCCCTAAATAGCTTTATCATCTATTTGTGCTTAATTTTATATTATTTAGATACAAAATTTAATGGAGGTGTGAACCAACAGAAATGTGACCAACATGATGTACTAACTTCACGTGCCTACTTTGAGGCCGCAATTAACTACCATTCGTGCAAACAACAATTAGTTCAAACTTATAATATTCACAATATCTGTTGACGTCAAATTTAAAATGTTCTTTTATTAAAACCCACTGTGATATCGTTTATTAATAAACAGCACCAAATGCCGTGGGTGCAATAAGAGCATACCAAACGATAAGGCCTAGTAAACTTTGAAATCTTACGAATTTACTACCAAGAGCACGCAAAATATTCTATAAACGCACGAAAGATTTGTGTTCAGTTTATTGAGACCTGGTTCAAGTAACACAAACTCGACAAGGCTCGAGCTTCAGTACACTGAAAAGATCGTATGTGGAGTCCTTTGTCAAGTTCCCTCTTGATGATGTCACCTTCGCGGGACATCGCGGTCAGGTGTAAAAATGTAAATCCCCTGGTGTAAGTATGAAAGTGGTCATACATATTTGAGCTAGAATGTTCACATAAAGCTATAAATCAGTAATTATTGTATCTCTTCAGCTGTGTGATCAAGTAGGAAAAAAATAGGTCGTTAGCATAATTCCAGCATCTTCGCTGGTAATAAGCATTCTTCTTTAAGTTTCCATTAAAACTGCTTCGTACGTTTAGCCGCAGCATAATGGCTCATAGAATGACTCTGAGTTTCCATCTCTTGATCGGTTTGAGATCTAATTACAGCCGTGGCTATTGATGATTCCCTCTTGTTGAATACGTTTATCTCCAGATGTATTAAATGTTTGCGGTCACTTCTCATTATTTTAGATCTGTTTGAACTTCAGGTGGCACAGTACTAAGCTTAAAGGCATACAATGGCAGAGAATGGGGGTTCGATGCCTGTAGTGGGTACGGCGCGAATAAGCCATTATTCAACTTTGTGCTTAAAGAAACAGACAAACAAGGTAAAGAACAGCTAGCTAGTAAGAATCATTCGATAATTGTCCATTAATATAATACTTTCTTTTTCATTTTTACAGTGGTTCCAAAATTATTTTAGTTTGAGGCTCCCTTGATGTGAATAAAAAGTTTTAGCCCCTCCCCATTTATAAAAATGCTTTAAAATGTGATTTTAAAATGCCCCCCCCCCCCCACACTACTTTAGCATGGTGCCGTTGTAAAAACAATAACATCTCATTTCGCCATACTGCATGGTCTAATTAATTCAACAAATTTTTTATCGGCTTATTATTTATAATTGAAATTAATTCAACATCTTTGTTTTCGGCCCATTTTTTTGGCGGCTTCCCAGAAAGAGTTTCACGGCCCTCATGGGGGTCACGGCTCCCACTTTGGGAAACACTGGTCTAGTAGGATCTTGCACGTCGTATACTTTTTTTATTATTATTATTGTTCAACTAAAGTACTTATTTATTTACACCCGGATCTGGTATGGTTATATAATTATTGAAAAACGCTAACTGTGGATACTTCCCCCCCCCCCACCTCTCATCAAGGAACAACAACACATCTTTCAGAGATACGGTTTACGTTACCGTACGCAGTACAGATGGAAACCTGTACGAGAAGCTGGAATTGCGTACCAAATGGACGGCACATCCTTAAAATAGCGCCAGTAAACGCTCCAATCACAAGACTATTCGATTCCCTTAAACGGAAGCGAGAAGAGGCAGAAGACTGGAGCAACCGCGTCTCCAAATATGTTTTGTTATGAACATGAACGTTTATAGTTAGAACACTTGTTTAGAAAGTTTCCCCTTTTCATCTCGTGTTAAAATAACTAGTTCAGGTTCACGGAGAAGCGTTGAGAGATTCAAATGAATTTCGCGCCTCAGAATAAATAGGCCCTTGTTTCTTTTTTTGTCGAAATAACGGGAAACCGAACTGCTCAAAGTTAGTTCATAACTCAAGAAAAGATGATAGAATCAATGCATTTACAACTTCATCTTCACTAGAAATAACGGTTCTATTGTGCTGAGATGTACGGAAATAACAGTTTCACACTAAGAATATCTAGAATACAAATAGAGAATCAATTTCGGGTTCTTTTTTTTTTTTTGCTGTTGCTATGGGAACGGATCTTGCTAGACTACTACATCCACCCTTTTATTGATCGAAGGAGATGAAACTCATCGTAGACATTGCTGAACAAAACCTTCGCCCCCTGCGATTCGTTCTAACAACGTTATAAGTCAACCTACAGAAAGCATACATTTGGAGTTTTATCAACTTGTGCTGTCATCAGTAGGCTGCAGTTGTAGAGAAAGAGGTACTTTTCTGAGCCCCCCCCCCCCTCCACGTCTCTTCAAGTTCATTAAAATAATCCCATCCCGCCCCCCTCTTTTCCCAGTACTAAGAGAAACTTAGCTATATTGAAAAGACAAATGTTGATAAATTATCTGGAAAGATTCTGGAAAAGGAACTGAAATTTCGTTCAATTTGGTGTATCTGTTTTAGAAGAAATCTTTGTCAAGTAAAAACCATTTTCATTAACATACTAACGAACTGAGTCGTCGAAAATCAATTACTACAAAGATTAATAAAATAAGTTAACCAGAAAGGACAAAAAATAACAATAAAACCATATACGTGTTAGGACTAGCGAAGTTATATGGTACACTTTAAAACTGGCATCAGTTAACATTGTTATAGGACTAGCATAGTTATATGGTGCACTTTAAAATTGGAATCAGTTAACATTGTTATAGGACAAGCATAGTTATATGGTGCACTTTAAAACTGGAATCAGTTAACATTGTTATAGGACTAGCATAGTTATATACAACACTTTAAAACTGGCATCAGTTAACATTGTTATAGGACAAGCATAGTTATATACAACTTTAAAATTGGAATCAGTTAACATTGTTATAGGACAAGCATAGTTATATACAACTTTAAAACTGGAATCAGTTAACATTGTTATAGGACAAGCATAGTTATATGGTGTACTTTAAAATTGGAATCAGTTAACATTGTTATAGCGGCTCACTGTTACATGTGGTATTAAAAACGCTTACCTGATTGGATGACATCAAGAAGGGTGGCTCCCATACCGGTCTTCTTGTTTTTTATGCTATCAAAGACATCCTTCGTTAAATGCTTTTTTAGAAGGGATTTGCAATCACTAGCTTCTTGCAGTTTCTTGAAGCCAGCTTCTAGCTTGTCCAATGTTGCCTGGTCCACCATTTTGCCCCAATGTAAACAGCTGCACCCAACTGAAGACCTGTGAGAGTGAACTTCTGTAAAATTGAAACTCACTGCTTTGAAGTTCTGTTCTCGTCTTAATAGAGACCGCAAAGTATTCTGGGTGAAAACCTTGGTATTCCGTCATGGTGCTTTTGCTGTCTAAACCTATCACGTTTGAGCGTTGTATTTGTGAGCTACTAGAAGCAAGGGCATAGGATGAGAGCTCAGAATACATCTGCAAACTAAGAACAGAGTTTTTTTTGTCTATTTTTAACAAACTAAGCAAATACCAAACGACCTAGTTATTTTCTATAACACCAGGGCCTGATGTTGGCCTGGCTCACAAAATATCTCTTCCCTTGTCCTTACAGAACAATTAGTTAATATAGAGCAGTGTTCCTACTTAATTACCTCATCATGATCTTCCAGCTTCTAGGAAAATCTTAAGAACCAAACGGTAATTGTGTTTAGAGGAAATATACACAATACGTTGGCTTGAAAACCGGTGCTATTACATAGTTTTCTACGTGACTGAAACAAGACAGTTTTTTTTACAATAAAAAGATCGACATAAACGTTATAAAAAGAACAACGTTTACCAAACAGTAAATTTTCACACGATGGAGGTAGTTTCTGAAATTTATTTCAGAAGGAAAAGTTAGCAGTATCATATTCTGACGAACTGAGTATTGCACAGACGACTAATGAAAAATCTTGTTTATTTTATTTTTGTTGTTCTTCGTATTTTTCTCTGAGTTGTTAAGAGTTAACGTAGTGTAAAAGGAATATTAATTGAATAGTTTTAAATAAAATGATACGTTGGATAACGTTGCTAGGTTACACCCAAAAAAGAAGGTTAAAGTACTCAGCAGTCTTAGTTGTAAAATTTCCAGAAGCTATGTTACCTGTAATGTTTTCGCTGAAATGAATTTGAGAAATTTGATATTAAAACTATGTCTAAAAGAAAAAAAGAAAATTTAAGGCTTACCCTCTGATCAAACACGTTATATACCACAGGGAGAACATTACTGTTGATGCACTACACAAGAGACAGGGTTAAACGATGCAGAGAAGAGGAAGACGTGAGAAGCGATGTGATTCGTTAGCGCTATGCAGCAGTGGCTCCGGCTGTAGGACCAAAATCCTGCAGGACCGTTTGTAGCGGTATAGGTGTTGCTGAAAGACAGTGAGATGAATAAAAAAAAAATACTGGTGTTTGCTTAAAGTTATTATTTCTATTTTCATTAATTTGCATTTATACTTCACAACAAAAAGGTGGAATAACTTTGAAATAATTTTCTAAATATAACAAAACCTGCTTAATCCAAACTTAGAATTCTTCGTGAAATATTCGTGTTCAGAGACGAACTTTTGTATCGAGAAGTTTAACAACTGTCGAGATTTTTAAATCAGAAAATACAAGAAACTTGAAACATCGTCGAGATAAAGTTGAATAATTAACTTATTGTTACAACAAATCAACACATTTGTTTCTAGGTTTTATGAGATGGTTGTTTTTTTTTATATACTTTACTAACGAGTTACTTTCACGTAATCAAGACAAAATTCCATTAGCTCATTTTTACCATATTGCTTTATACAATCGTTATACGTTGTGAACAAAAATCGGTGTCGTTGAAATATATTTATATTATACTAATCTTATTAAATATCATTGTTTGTTTTGAATTTCGCGCAAAGCTACACGAGGGCTATCTGCGCTAGCCGTCCCTAATTTAGCAGTGTAAGACTAGAGGGAAGGCAGCTAGTCATCACCACCCACCGCCAACTCTCGGGCTACTCTTTTACCAACGAATAGTGGGATTGACTGTCACATTATAACGCCCCCACGGCTGAAAGGGCGAGTATGTTTGGTGTGACGGGGATTCGAACCCGCGACCCTCAGATTGCGAGTCGAGCGCCCTAACCACCTGGCCATGCCGAGCTATTAAATACAGATACTTATACAGGCAACATTAATGATATATTATGGAAAAATGAGAAAAAAAAACAGTTCATTTCATATGCCATATGTCTACCAGTTCTCAAGCATTAGTAGTGTATTACAGTAAACATTAAAAATGATGCTTTCGTTACTATACCTTGAATTGCTGCAAGGAACACAACAACAATTTGTTTTGTTTGTAATTACGCAAAAAGCTGAACAATGGGCTATCTGTGATCTGCCCACCACGGGTATCGAAACCCGGATTTTAGCGTTGTAAGTTCGCAGACATACCACCGGAGGGAGGGGGGACAACAACAATTTAATAAGAAGGGAAATTTTGAACAGATTGCGTCGTGTTCAATATATTTACCGATAAAGGTAATTCAAACAAGACAAATCTGGAAACTACATCTATCGTATTGCTCCCCAGTGGATTCGATACCTGTGGTGGGCAGAGCACAGATAGCCCATTGTGCAGCTTTTTGCTTAATTACAAACAAACAATCTATCATATTACATTTTTAAAAAATGGCTCTTTTTTTTTCAGTAACTTAAGACTAAAGCAATATTGGTGCGATCTAGTTTATAATTTACTTTCCTTCTTGACCCACTGAAAGTTAATCGAATTTTAGAAGAAAGATGTTCAGATTATAGCTCTTCCCTCGAAACTTATTCATCCATCCTTCCTCCTGGTCAGTCTGATGGCCGTGATGACGCACTATTGGCCGACAACGCTGTTTCCATTGTACCTAGATTCTGCGAAAGTCAAGATCGTCTGATAGATCTAGGGATCCGACTAGATCAGATCTTCTGATAGCTCTAGGGATCCGACTAGATCAGATCTTCTGATAGATCTAGGGATCCGACTAGATCAGATCGTCTGATAGATCTAGGGATCCGACTAGTCAAGATCGTCTGATAGATCTAGGGATCCGACTAGTCAAGATCGTCTGATAGATCTAGGGATCCGAATAGTCAAGATCGTCTGATAACTCTAGGGATCCGAATAGTCATGATCGTCTGATAGCACTAGGGATCCGACTAGTTCAGATCTTCTGATAACTCTAGGGATCCGACTAGTTCAGATCTTCTGATAACTCTAGGGATCCGAC